CTACGTATAGATACATACACGCACACACACAAGCAAAATCTGATTAGGTAGTTAGGGTCACAGATAGTGTAGCTCTTTACATTGTGTTAAGGTATATCAAATCCAGTCACTAAAATGAATTTGAACTTTAAAGCTGAACTCCAAGTTTCTTCAATACTTCTATTCCCCTACCTTGGTACAAATTAATGGTTTTGTTTCAATCGCTTAGCTATAGTTTTTCTCTACTGAAAAGGTTGTGACATAATCACTTTAAGTTGGAAAATGTACAGTACATACAAAATTCAGTATTCAGAGAAAAATATTCAAAAATTATACTTGAGCCAGACGCTGGTGAAAGGAGAGAGGAGGAGATAGAACACAATGTTTCCTGGGTCTAAGAACCCCGCTTTTCAAGAACCTCCTGCCCAGGTACTAAATTCCTGTATATATTTCTGAGTATTTTTGCAAATGAATTTTGTAATTAACACAGAACATAAGTCGTTGACCCTCCACCAAGGGCATGAATCACTCAATTTTCATAATATCTAGGTGGTGTTTGACTTCCCCTTCTACAGGTCTCTGCCCATTATTTATTTGAATGATGACCAGTATGTTGGGTCTCACCAAAACTACCTTGTTCTGCTGGGCATGTGGGTCTCCCATATACTGCCAAACAGGCTGTTGATACAGCCTCCCTCTCTGCTACTCTATGCGTCAAACAACTCCCGCACTAAAATATGAGAAATCCTAACCATACTGTAGAGTGACATGTTTGTTTAAATAGCACAGAAGCTGGGACAATCTGGGCAAGTCTTTTCTTTCCCCAGAGCAAATAAGACTTAGTAGCGCTCTGCACAAATGCTCTGGACGCACTCCGTACTTGGAGCTGAGGACATCATCACTTGCTCCCTCTGGTGGTATTGCAGCTGCCTCTGTGTCCTGTTCTACTTTGAACATCAAGCGCTCCGCCTACTTGGAATCAGTTTGTGTATACTAAGCCATATAGCTCAATAAACTTCTCAGACTGTCAGGGAGCGAGGAGCCAGACACACAAGGAGGTGCAATTAAAGGTAGGTTTATTATACAAAAACAAGACAGAGTCTATGCAAGTCCAACAGCAACAGTGGATGACTTGGTAGAACAGTATCCAGGAAGGATGATCGCCAGAGCCGGGGTCAGAAGCCAGGAAGGATGGTCGCCAGAGCCAGGGTCAGAAGCCAGGAAGGATGATCGCCAGAGCCGGGGTCAGAAGTCAGGGAGGAGTCTTGCCAAAGCCGAGTCGGTATCCAGGAGAGCAATGAGAAACTGAACAGGCGCTTGCTGCTGTGCAACAGACAGGACACGAATGCAATGGACAGCTACAAACAGCAGACTTATATGTGATTATCCACCACCTCCTGGGGGAGGAGCCGCAGGGGCTGAAAGCATAAAGGATCCCACAATGCTTTGCAGACACCTAAGATGGATGCCAGCACATGGAGCAGCACAAGCCCTGAGGAAAGGTAGGACCTTGACACAGACTGGAAAACAGGGAGCACAATATGTACAGCAGAAGTGCCCAACAAAGGACATTAGATGATAGTTGGGCATGCAGGTGTGATCTGACTTCCCCCCTCCTTCTTATGCATCTGAAAAAGACGAAAGCTTCCCTATGGAAAGAGGTGGAGGAGGTTGCACTATCCATTCTTTCTGATTAAACTTTGCCGCCTTCTCTGAGTGGTCTATAGACACTAGGTTGTCACCCAAAGCAACTGAATTGGGAGACTTTCATTTAATGTTTTTAGGCCCCTAAAGATATGGCACATAAACATTTTATAAAGCACACATGGCTTTTTGTACAGAGGAACATTACAAAATAATAAAAAAATGTGAAGAGAAATGTGAAGAGAAATCATGAGATACTGTATGTGACCTGTTAAAGCCCATATATGATAATAAACATCTCCCTGCCCCCTGGTCCACCTACTCAAGCCTGAATCCCTCCATCTACAGCAATATACTGTGTGTGTATATACTGTATTTAAATATATACATATATTTTTTTTTAATTTGCCTTGTGATGCACAGGGTCCTCTTCCTCCTCCAAAGTTAGATAATCCTTGTTACAGAGAGCATTACTGGCTTAATATCAGCGCATTTCAGTGCAAAATTCTCCCGTGAGCCCAGGTAGTTTTATTGGACTCTCTGTGGGCATGTTGTTCACATGGGGTGTGTCGGTGTGTTCTGTGCCAGGATCATACGTATAGTCTGGAAGCAGACTGGCACTGGACCATTGAGAAGGGTCCCATGCAACAGCACTGAAGTATGTAGTACTGCTTTGCAAAGCGTTTTTTTTTTTTTTTGTTAATCAAGAGGAAAGGGAGGGAGCATTTACAAAAGAAACATTTTAACCGGACATGGGCTTTAAACAGTAGGTGTTCAGCTGTGTTATATGTCTGATGAGTTTTTTTGATTTTTGAAGAATGTTAACTGACTCAGTGCCCTTTAAAGTGAATATTGGTATACCACTCAAGAGAGCAGCAGATGCTAAACAGCTTTGGCTCAGTAGCATTTACCCAAGTTTATTCTAACCAATGAATAAAACATTTACTACTCCAACAATATAAGTTCAATCATTCAACTACACTTCTCTCGTTATGTGCTAGATTGAGAATAATGAAAGCGAACAATATTTCAGGCTATATGACAAAGATGACATTTAAAACTGCCATAACAAGAAAGTATGCATGTTGGTTTTCAACAGCTGTATCATTCTTGCAGGCAGTATTTTATGTTATAATACCATTCATAGTAAATAACTATCTAATAACTATTATTGCTACAGTGTATGGGTAGCCAGGGGAAATTTTTGAAAGATAACATTAAAAAATCCCTAAAGGTACATCATTTTTGTTAGCAGTTTCCTGAATGTTAGTTTTTTTTTTTATTTCTAAGCTGCCTATGTATAAATTAAATAAGATTTGTTTAATGAATCAAACTGGATATATTGCTAGATACAATAATTCTACTAAGTGCAGAATTTCTGTGTTAATATTTTTTAAAGAAAAACTGTGTTCAGAGAATACGGAAACTGCAATAGCTGACCTCAGCTTCAAATATTGCTTCCTTTTGCCTATCATGCTGGTCCAATAGTTTTGCAATGCAATGGAAAGATAGAGAGACACTGTCACTTTGGCCATTTAGGGCAAAGTGAGTGTCTCTGCAAGGGCATTTACCTGCAAAGGGCATTACCTGTGTTCCCTCTTACTTTCCTTCTCTGCAATTGATGCTGAAAAAGGTGCCAGGGACATAGGGGAGCAGGGATGTCCCTTCTCCATTCATGGGCCTAGTGACTATTTTGCCGAGGCACCCTAGGGTATCATTCAATTGTGCTTACATATCTGTATAGCTATTCAAAGGGCCTGTTTTTACCCACACAGAATGCACAAATATCTTTTGTGTTTATTGGGATGCAGCATTTGCATGGACACAGCCCATGGTCCCAATTTTGACAGCTATAAATGTGCGAGTGTGTGTCCTTGAGTGCACACTGTCTGCTTTTGGGGGTTATGCACCAACATGCCCATGTGATTGAAGTCTAACAGAGGATCAGAATTAGGGAATATGCTGCCAACACACCAAAGATCTTTGAAAAAGCATTCAATGGTTTTACATCACGACATAAAATTGAGAAATATCTCTTAATTCTGTGTTGATACCAGTCCCTGGCCAGTGGTTTCTGCATCCACTGTGGAGGAAAAAGGAGCTAAGAGGGAGCGTAGGTAAAGTGAGTATAATGGGATGGGGGGGGGGGTCTCTTTGCAGAGACTTTGTCACCTCGCCTATACAGTGCAATAGAGATTTTCTCTTTAAAATAGTTGACAATTTACCTCCTTGAGACCCCTGTTCTTGACTTCTTGGTTTTGCTGAGCAGCTGTACCATTATGACGAGGTCTTGCTTTCCCTATTGGATTTTTTTAAATTACGTAGAATGCAACAGAAGAACCTGAAACATACGATGGTGGTAGGAAACACACAAAGGTGGATAGAAACGCACAAAGCTCAAATATGAACAGAGTTAATAATTATGATGGAGATGTCACTGTTGCAGTATCCAAGACATGTAATCTTATCTCTTATCTCCTCCTCCCATGCTCGTTTCCAAGACTTCCCCAGGGCGTCACCCATCCTCTGGAACTCCCTACCCCAATCTATCAGACTCTGACCTACTCTACTTGCCTTTAGGCGATCACTGAAAACCTATCTCTTCAGGGAAGCCTATCCCGCCCTCTGCTAATTCTGGAATCCTCTACTCTTCCAACCACTCCATCCCCCACAGTTACTACCTACTGTACCATTCACCCCTCCCTCCTAGATTGTACGCTCCAAGGAGCAGGGCCCTCAAATCCCTCTTGTATTGAACTGTGTTGTTACAGTATTGTCTCCCACTATAATGTAAAGCGCTGAGCAAACCGTTGGCGCTATATAAATCATGTATAATAATAATAATGTAATCATATAATAATTTTACTTTTGGGTAAAATGATCCTTTAACAATTTCTGAGGAACAGGAACCAATATGCAGACTAAGAATGCTGACTTCACTCTGACTTTCAAATCTACATGCTTGTTTTGGATACCGTAAAACTAGATATACTAGGACAATCATATTTTTAGAATTAGGTCAGCAATGACAACCCCTTTATGTTTATCAGTAGAGATTTACTTTAACCACCTCCCGCCCGCCATATATAGTAATATGACGGGCGCAAGGTGGTTCTCTCGTTCTGGGAGGACGTCATATGACGTCCTCCCATACTCATTGTGCATGCGCGGCTCAGGGAGCCCTCGGAAACAGCGGATCACCAATCACGGAAAGAGCCGAAGATGTTGGCTCGATCATGTGATCAGCTCTGTCCAATCAAAGCTGATCACATGTAAACAGGGAAATGCCGGTTATCGGCATTTCTCTCCTCTCAAGCTGTCACGCTGACAGCTCGAGAGGAGAGGAGAGCCGGTAATCGGCTTTCCGCGGAGGGGACATGTACACTGATCATCAGGGTACTGATGATCAGTGTGCCCTGATGATCAGTGTAGCCCCAGCAGTTCCACCTGGTAGTGTCCATCAGTGCCTTATGTCAGTGCTCATCAGTGCCTCGTACCAGTGCCCATCAGTGCCACATCAGTGCCACATATCAGTGCCTACCAGTGCACATCAATGCCACATATCACTGCCCATCTGAGCTGCCTTTCAGTGTCACCCATCAGTGTCAGTCAGTGCCACCTATCAATGCCAATCAGTGCCACCTATCAGTGCTGCCAATCAGTGCCACCTATCAGTGCCAGTCAGTGCCACCTATCAATGCCAATCAGTGCCACCTGCCAATGCTGTTAATTAGTGCCACCTATCAGTGCCAGTCAGTGATGCCTATCAGTGCTGCCTATCAGTGCCCATCAGTGCCACCTATCAGTGCCTGTCAGTGCCACCTAACAGTGCCAGTCAATGCCGCCTAACAGTGCCAGTCAGTTCCGCCTATCAGTGCCAGTCAGTGCCGCCTATCAGTGCTGCCTATCAGTGGCATATATCAGTGCCATGTATCAGTGCTGCATTTCAGTGCCCATCAGTGCCACCTACCAGTGCCTCCTCATCAGTGCCCATCAGTGCCACCTATCAGTGTCCATCAGTGTAGCCTATCAGTGCCCATCAGTGCAACTTCATTGGTGCACATCAGTGAAGGAGAAAAATCACTTATTTACAAAATTTTATAACAAAAACTAAGAAAAAACATTTTTTTTTTTTCAAAATTGTCAGTGGTTTTTGGTTTGTTTAAAAAATAATAAAAAACCCAGAGGTGACTAAATACCACCAAAATAAAGCTCTATCTGTCACAAAAAAATGATAAAAATGTCATACGGGTATAGTGTTGTTTGATCGCACAATTGTCATTCAAAGTGCGACAGCGCTGAAAGCTGGAAATTGGCCTGGGCAGGAAGGGGGTATAAGTGCCCTGTAGGCTAGTGGTTAAAGCCCAACTCTACTTTTTCCCCCACCCTTCACCTTCTCCCTCTCAAGACTCACCCTGCCCCCCTTTTCTAGGTCCTTCCTCTTTTTACTTGGCAGCAGTGTGGAATGGTCCTTAATTGTGGACAACACAGCAGTTTTGTAATGACATGCGAGTGCTGTTCTGACCAAGAGTATTACAAGCTAAGGCCATCTTGATGGTGTACCTATAGGAGACATGCTCATGATTGCCAAGGTTTACACAAAGTGGGTTGAATGATGTTGGATGTCAATCAGCTTGGAAGACTAACAATATCTTGTCACTGAAAAGAGGTACTGCAGGATAGGAAGGTGAGCATTGCAGCTAGATATACTTTTTTTTACTTTTTAACTGTGCTGGGTCTCACGTTAAAGTACAAAATATGAAGTTGGACGTTAAAGGAAGCCTGTCCTGACAGAAATAATGCTTTGCTGAAATGCTAGTTTCCTGACACTTGTTTGTCTTGCTGGCTTATTGTTTTCAATACTCTGTGTCATTGATTCAGAACAAACATGCAGATAAGGAGTTCTGATATTATACTGACAAAACTATTTTTATACTTGTTCTAGGTCAGAGACTCAGAAAACACTAAAGATGGGCAACTTTTTTTGAAAAGAAGGGCATCAAAGTCTGCTTCTAGGTCCCCTTCAGTACAAGTATATTTCTAAATCAGAAAGTCTTGATTTTGGCAGTTGTATCTGGTAAAGTGGTGTTCTTGTGAAATATATCTTTCCAAATAAATGTTTCTCATGTATGTGCTGATCGCATCCTCCAAACTCCACTTTTGTAGTAGCATGTTCAATACTAGATTCTATATACATTGGTTGTACACTGATAAAGGTTCAAAAAACAATTCAGAATGGCAGTGTAATATTTTGCGTAAAATGTTGGCGCTATATAATTTCTGTATAATAATAATAATTGTCATCATTTTTTTTTATTTTTTAGCAGTACACTAACTTTTATAAAATGTACATTATATGCAAGAAAATGTAATAGCCTTCCAATATCGAATGTATCTAATCCTGTCAGTTATAATGCTTGCAAGACCTAAAGTTGATAATATGTAGCCAGATCCAATAAAGCAGTCATCCTGCTTTGAAAAGTTTAATCTAAATGTAATAAAGAAATGATAAACTTTAACAAGATGCTATATAAGCTTTCAAAAGCAAGCTTGAATACATTGGGTGTACTTAGTAATGCTATACAGCTCTGTAACCATCATGTGCAATAAATTGCTAATAGGCAGTAGTGAAATCACAACATCACATTTCAAAATCATTCCTATAAAATATGCAGTTTAGTTAGTTGTAGTGCCCGCCATGATTTTTTTAAAGTATACATCCCTGTTCTTTACCTGATCACAAAAAACATCCTCAAATCTAGTGAAAAGTCCAGTTCTAAAATCCCTTAAAAAATATACTGGGGGTTATTTACTGAAGCTAGAAAGTGCAAAATATGGTACAACTCTGCAATCAACTTCCAGGTTTTATTGCCAAAGCTTAATTGAACAAGCTAAAGTTATGCAGGCCATAGATGGGGAGAAAACCGGCTGATTTTTCTTTAGAAAAACAAAAAATCGATCGTTCAAGCGGCCGACGTTACCAGGAACGGTAAAAAAAATCGCCCGATTTTCATCCTGTCTACAGCCAGCAAAAAGTGTCCCTGCAGAGAGCTCCGCTATTTCTTTGACAGTTCCTTGACATTTATAGCGGTTGCAACAATGTATCTATTTGTATCCATTTAGGATACAGATGTTTTTATTTGGAAAAAATAGATACATTGTTGCAACCGCTATAAATGTCAAGGAACTGTCAAAGAAATAGCGGAGCTCTCTGCAGGGACACTTTTTGCCAGACTGGAATTCCTCTTCTTCTTCATCCTCCTCTTCTTCTTCCTCTTCTTCTTTCTCTTCATCCTCTTCTTCTTCTTCTTCATCCTCTTCTTCTTCATCCTCTTCATCTTCTTCTTCTTCATCCTCTTTTTCTTCTTCTTCCTTTTCTTCTTCTTCATCCTCTTCTTTTTCTTCTTCATCCTCTTCTTCTTCTTCATCCTCTTCTTCTTCTTCTTCATCCTTCTTCTTCCTCTTCTTCTTCATCCTCTTCTTCTTCTACTTCTTCCTCTTCTTCTCCTTCCTCTTCTTCATCCTCTTCTTTATCCTCTTCTTCTTTTTCATCCTCTTCTTCTTCCTCTTCTTCTTCATCCTCTTCTTCTTCTACTTCTTCCTCTTCTTCTCCTTCCTCTTCTTCATCCTCTTCTTTATCCTCTTCTTCATCCTCTTCTTCCTCTTCTTCCTCTTCTTCTTCTTCCTCTTCTTCTTCATCTTCTTCTTCTTCTTCATCCTCTTCTTCTTCTTCTTCCTCCTCTTCTTCATCCTCTTCTACTTCTTCATCCTCTTTTTCTTCTTCTTCCTCTTCTTCTTCATCCTCTTCTTCTTCATCCTCTTCTTCTTCATCTTCTTCATCCTCTTCTTCAGCTTCTTCATCCTCTTCTTCATCCTCTTCTTCTTCATCATCCTCTTCTTCTTCTTCCTCTTCTTCTTCATCCTCTTCTTTTTCTTCCTATTCTTCATCCTCTTCTTCTTCTTCTTCTTCATCCTCTTCTTCTTCTTCTTCATCCTCTTCTTCTTCTTCATCATCTCTTCTTCTTCTTCATCCTCTTCTTCTTCTTCTTCATCCTCTTATTCTTCTTCGTCCTCTTCTTCTTCTTCATCCTCTTCTACTTCTTCCTCTTCTTCTTCATCCTCTTCTTCTTCCTCTTCCTCTTCTTCCTCTTCTTCATCCTCTTCTTCTTCTTCATCCTCTTCTTCATCCTCTTCTTCATCCTCTTCTTCTTCTTCATCCTCTTCTTCTTCTTCTTCCTCTTCTTCATCCTCTTCTTCTTCATCCTCTTTTTCTTCTTCATCCTCTTCCTCTTCTTCTTCATCCTCTTCTTTTTTCCTCTTCTTCTTCTTCCTCTTCTTCTTCTTCCTCTTCTTCATCCTCTTCTTCTTCATCCTTTTTTCTTCTTCATCCTCTTCTTCATCCTCTTCTTCATCCTCTTCTTCTTCTTCTTCCTCTTCTTCTTCATCCTCTTCTTTATCCTCTTCTTCCTCTTCTTCTTCATTCTCTTCTTCTTTTTCTTCTTTTTGTCTTCCTCTTGCAGGTCACTGCTCATGCGCAGATTTGCCCATAATTGCCGCGAAAATCGGCCGATCTGCAAAATCGGTCGATTTTTTTCCAACTTTACTGATAAAAAAAATCTGCCAAAATACTGAAAAACGGCCGAACAATTAGCCCACTAACGATCCGAAAATCAGCCGATTTTATTTTCGGACGAAAAATCAGCTGATTTTCGACCCATCTATGGCCTGCATTAGAAGCTGATTGGCTACCATGCACAGCTGCACCAGATTCTGAGTACACCAATTTCAGTAAATCCCCCCTATTGCCTCGTCTTTGGTGGACTTGTCTAGGTTACACTATACATTTTTTGTGTAAATTTGCACTGACATAAACAGTTTACTAAAAAAGCTCTTGAAAAGATGGGTGTGTTGTGCTGTAGACTGAACTGCTATGCTGACATCAAATGTTGGTGCTTTCACTGCCCTAAGTTCATGTTAGGTATTAATTCAGCCCATTCACACCACTGCACTCTGGTAATCCAAGTTACTTGCACTGGTGAATGGTGGTGCCATTCATTTTAAATGTCACTCCTATGCACCTTCACAGCCCACCATGATTTATGGTGCATGGTGATAAGAAAATGCTACAGATGCGATTTTAGGTTTGATGCTGTGAGTTAGACAGCTTATTCAAAGAAATATTTTTTCTTAATGTAACACACCATAATGCACGTGGGTAAATGTGTCACAACAAACTGGACCCATGTGAATCTAAAGGTACACACCTGTCAAAATTAAAAAATAGAACTTGGGGATGATTTAGCAGAGCACAGCCCACCTGCTCAGTACCAGCTTCCCATCCTAGCAATATTGTAATGCATTAGTTCTTTTTAGTCCCTTAACGCAGTGTTAAACCTAAAAGCAAACATGTATTATATTGTAGCGTATCAATTTGTAGATGTGATGGCTGCATGTAGTTTCCTTTTCTAGGCTTTCTTTCTTCTATTTTCATCTGGTGATTCAGCAAGCAACTCTGCTGTTTTTTAGAAGTTCAAGCTCTACAGAAGAATGTATCAGTTTACATGTATGCGACAATCCATTTACCACTGGCAAGGGTGATTAAAATGACCAACTTATATTTATTCATATAAAAAACTTTATCCCAAAAGAAAAAAAAACTGTTTGCTGTGACTGATTGTAAAGTGTTAGCTGGAGTTTGGCTTCAATTTATTATTGTATTCAGATCTGCTAATATATTAACCCCCCCCAGACAATACTGCTGTCTGCTGTGTCCTGTGCTCATTCCCCCAAAGTGGTGTCTCACTAATACAGGAGGTGT